AGATAGTATTATACTCTAAGGATCCATGAACTGGCTATTTTTTTCCCCTGAGTATAATGAATATTGTGGCCAAGCAGGGTTGCAAAAGAAGATCATCTTTTTTCCTTTTCATAGGTTTATAACTAAACATTGTCCAATTTTTGAGAATATAGCCCAAAGGGCTGCATGCCAGGGATCAATTTTTCATTTCCTAGTTTCCAATTAGAACACGAGCTACAGCAACAAACAAACCAAATGAAGCCAAGAGTACTTCTGTGAACAAAGATTCTCTATTTCCACTCAAAAGGCTTTATCAACTGAATAAATGGCTTCCTCGTCAACCTTTTCTTAAGCAAGAAAAAGAAGGCTAAGAGAGCCAAAGCCAAACGCCCAGTTTGGAGAGAACCAAAGGTGGCGGCAGGTGGTGGTGGGGGAGGAGGAAGGGGGACGGGGGCGGGGAGAAAGAAGCATTTGGTCACCGGTTCTGAGGTTACTTACCAAAGAGGTGTCTGTCCATATGGAAGCCAAAAGCTGTTTCCTTGCCACAAGAGTTAAATTAAGCGCCTGAAGGTCAGTGAACCCAAATTGGGGTGGAACCCCCAGGGAAGGTCCCTAGGATGAAGAGCCTGGGAAACTGCTTGGACTTGTCACAAGACTCCCTTTAATGGCTGGGGCCATCAAACCAAAGTCAAAGAGCTCCCGGCTGGCTCACCAAATTTGTGACCAACCCAGGTTCATATGACCCATGTGCCGCAGAGCCAATCACTGAAACACCAAGTACGCAGGAGGAAAAGGCTTTACTCAAGATGTAGCCAAATGAGCGGAGATTGGCTGGGTCGGTCTGTGGAGATTGTGACTCTTGATCTTGGGGTCATGAGTTTGGGCCCCAGGTTGGGCATAGAGCTTATCTGGAAAAAAGAAAAAAGAGGCAGGCAAAGGAGAAGGGAAGGCAAGCCTCAAATTCCTCTCCTCAAAGGGGGAGACTCTTGGTATTTAAAAGTGAATGAAAAAAGAAGGGCCATCTGTACCCCAATGTTTATAGCAGCAATGGCCACGGTCGCCAAACTGTGGAAAGAACCAAGATGCCCTTCAACGGACGAATGGATAAGGAAGATGTGGTCCATATACACTATGGAGTATTATGCCTCCATCAGAAAGGATGAATACCCAACTTTTGTGGCTACATGGACGGACTGGAAGAGATTATGCTGAGTGAAATAAGTCAAGCAGAGAGAGTCAATTATGATATGGTTTCACTTATTTGTGGAGCATAAGTAATAACATGGAGGACACGGGGAGATGGAGAGGAGAAAGGAGTTGGGGGAAATTGGAAAGGGAGGTGAACCATGAGAGACTATGGACTCTGAAAAACAATCTGAGGGGTTTGATGGGGCGGCGGGTGGGAGGTTGGGGGAACCAGGTGGTGGGTATTGGAGAGGGCACGGATTGCATGCAGCACTCGGTGTGGTGCAAAAACAATGAATATTGTTAAGCTGAAAAGAAATTTAAAAATTTTTTTTAAAAAGTGAATGAAAAAGGATCTGGGTGTAGGGAAGAGGAGTTACATGATTTCAAACTCAGATAAAGGGAGTAAATAAGTAACTGAAGGGTTGAAGTGATCATTGTCTGCATCTTCACAGATCTTCTGCATGTCTCTTCATATGACCCATGATCAGAAAGCAGCCCCCTTGGTATGAGTCTGGGGTGGGGTTTTAGGCCCTTCTATATCAAATATTTATTCATCAGACACTGGTACAGGCTCCAAGAGAAGGTTGGAGGTCCTAAGTGTTTCTGGCTGGTGTTTCTACTGAAACCCAAGTCTCTGCAAAACAACTAAAGCAACATTTTCATATTGTTGCATTCTTGCATATTGTGCAAGAATGTTATCTATAGAAACATGGCAGCAGGCTGAATTCCGAGAACAAATAGATTTGAGTAAAAAGTTACAATTGCACTTACTGGTCCCTTTAGCCCTTAGGTAAGATTTGCTGTTAGGTGTCTTTCTTTCTTTTTAATTTTTTTAAATTCAATTAACGTATAATGTATTATTAATTTCAGAGGTAGAGGTCAGTGATTCATCAGTCTTATATGACACCCAGTACTCATTATACCATGTGTCCTTCTTAATGTCCACTACCCAGTTACCCCAGCTCTCACCCCTCTCCCCTCCAGCAACCCTCAGTTTGTTTCCTATGCTTAAGAGTCTCTTACGGTTTGTCTCTCTCTCTGATTTCATCTTGTTTTATTTTTTCCTCTCTTCCCCTCTGATCCTCTGTTTTGTCTCTTGAATTCCACATATCAGTGAGATCATATGATAATTGTCTTCCTCTCACTGGCTTATTTCACTTAGCATAACACTCTCTATCCCATCCACATCGTTGCCAATGGCAAGATTTCATTTTCTTTAATGGCTGAGTAGTATTCCATTGTATATATATATATATACCATGTCTTCTTTATCCATTCATTTGTTGATGGACATCTGGGCCCTTTCTATAGTTTGGCTATTGTGGACATTGCTGCTATAAACATTGGGGTGCAGGTGCCCTTTGGATCACTGCATTTGTATCTTTGGGGTAAATACCCAGTAGTGCAGTTGCTAGGTCATAGGGTAGCTCTATTTTCAATTTTTTGAGGAATCTCCATACTGTTTCCCAGAGTGGCTGCACCAGCTTACATTCCCGCCAACAGTGTAGGAGGGTTCCCCTTTTTCCACATCCTCGCCAACATCTGTCGTTTCCTGACTTGTTAATTTTAGCCACTCTGACTGGTGTGAGGTGGTATCTCACTGTGTGTTTGATTTGTATTTCCCTGATGCCAAGTGATATTGAGCATTTTTTCATGTGTCTGTTGGCCGTTTGTATGCCTTCTTTGGAGAAATGTCTGTTTATGTCTTCTCCCAATTTCTTCACTGGAGTATTTGTTTTTTGGGGTGTTGAGTTTGAAAAATTCTTTATAGGTCTTGGATACTAACCTTTTATCTGATACGTCATTTGCAAATATCTTCTTCCATTGTGTTGTTTGTTTTTTGGTTTTGTTGACTGTTTCTTTTGCTGTGCAAAAACTTTTTATCATGATGAAGTCCCAATAGTTCATTTTTTCCTTTGTTTCCCTGGTCTTTGGAGATGTATCTAGCAAGAAGTTGCTGCAGCTGAGGTTGAAGAGGTTGCTGCCTGTGTTCTCCTCTAGGATTTGATAGATTCCTGTTTCACATTGAGGTCTTTCATCCATTTTGAGGCTATTTTTGTGTGTGGTGTAAGGAAATGGTCCAGTCTCATTCTTCTGCATGTGGCTGTCCAACTTTCCCAGCACCATTTATTGAAGAGACTGTCTTTTTTCCATTGGACATTCTTTTCTGCTTTGTTGAAAATTAGTTGGCCATAGAGTTGAGGGTCTGTTTCTGGGCTTTCTATTCTGTTCCATTGATCTACGAGTCTGTTTTTGTGCCAGTGCCACACTGTCTTGATGATCACAGCTTTTAATAGAGCTCAAAGTCTGGGATTGGGATGCCACCAGTTTTGGTTTTCATTTTTAACATTCCTTTGGCTATTCGGAGTCTTTTCTGGTTCCATACAAATTTTAGGATTATTTGTTCTAGCTCTGTGAAAAAAGTTGATGATATTTTGATAAGAATTGCATTGAATGTATAGATTGCTCTAGGTGGCATAGACATTTTTACAATATTTGTTCTTCCAATCCATGAACATAGAACATTTTTCCATTTATGTCTTCCTCAGTTTCTTTCATGAGTGTTCTGTAGTTTTCTGAGTACAGATCCTTTGCCTCTTTGGTTAGGTTTATTCCTAGGCAACTTATGGTTTTAGGTGCAATTGTAAATGGGATTGAGTCCTTAATTTGTTAGCTTTCTAATAGCCAGCTCCCTGGGTCCATAGGCCAAAACTAACCAGTTAGTTGCTCTATTAAACTCTCCTTGATCGCAAGACCATAAAAATGTCTTCTTTTGAGTGATTATAGAGAGGAGCTGTTTAAAAAAAAAAAAGTATTGTACTTCTCAGAGAGAAAACAGTGACAAGTTCCATAGTACTTCCTTGAGGACAGGCTGAGACCCAATTCAGTGGCACTATTCAGTGGAAGGCTGATTTCCAGGGCTCAGACTGGGTGATTTGATATAGGATGAATAAATACATGATGATAATCCAGTTAACAGTGTTATAATGGGTGTCACAGTATGGGGGAGGGTGCGCTTATATGACAAAATCAAGTGGGAAAATTGGAGATGACAAAAACATAAAAATATCAAATTATATGTAGAAAATTGTCAGAGTAGAATTCTCTAAAATGTTAACAGTAAAAACAAAACAAAACAAAACAAAACAAAACCACAAACAACCAAAGTGGTTATACCATTTTATACTCTCATCAGTAAAAATGAGACTTCCAGATGCTCCATATTCTCACCTTACTTGATTATCATTACTATTTTAAAATTTCAGTCATGTTAGTAGGTATGTGATAGTACCTAATTCTGGTTTTAATTTATATATATATCTGTTGTATCAATCTGGTAATGGAGTATTTTGTTAGGTGCTTATTGCTATGCTTTGAGTCTACTTAGTTCCATTTGTGTGTCTATCTTTATTGTGATATCACGTTGTATTGATTATTGTAATAATCTTGTAAGGAATCTTCAAGTTAAAAATTTTTTCAAAAAAATAAAAAATAAATAAAATGTTAAAGTAGTTATTTCTGTATATTTGGGGTGCGTTTGGCTTTTCTCTCTCTTTAGTTGTCCAATGGGAAATACAAGGGGCGGGGCGTATTTTTTAATGATTGGCGTAAAACGCGAGGCGAGCGGGACAAGCCTAGCAGGATCTCCCAGGCCCTAACCCACGGCCCGGGACGCCCTGTTTCCGGTCCAAGCACCCACGGGCCGCGCGATCCAGGCGCCCTTTGGAGCGGCCCGCCGAGACGCGAGGTCCTCCGAGCAGCCTAGAGAGGACGCGGAAGTTGGCTGGGGGCGGGGCCGAGGCCCCTGCCAGTCGAGCAGCCATGCAGTTTCACTGGTCCTGTGCGGTTGGTGGCGAGTGAGCCGCCGAGGGCCGTAGTCCCCTGTTTTGCTCTGTGTTCTCCCGTTTACCTCCCCTAGCCGTGCCGCTAGCGCCGGAGGGGAGTGGGTGCGTGTCCCGGGTTCCTCGGCGGAGGTCGACGCCAGCAGTGTCTCTCCTCGTGCCCGGGGTGGTTAGTGCCGTGCCAGCTTCGGTGTACCACCCCCCACACCGTCAAGAGCGACTCTTCTCAGACGCGTCCACCCCCCACTCCTCAAGTTCCCGCCTTCCTTCTCCTTCGAGGAGCAGGTGCTGCGACGACCCCGCGTCAGAGTGCACAAAACCTCCTGTTGCCAGGGCCGGTGCCCTTCGACAATGTGGTCGTGGGCTTCAGAAACAAAGAGTGCAGTCGCCTGGACTGGCCCGAGAAGGCTCTTTACGCGAACGTGATATTAAAGAATTACGGAAACGCCATGGCACTGAGTAAGAACTCTCCTGTTACCCTTAGACGGTCCGATTCGAAGGCTTAAGTGCAGCTTCTCACTAACTGGGGGGTCTTCTCCGCATTTCTCTTCTCATGTGTTGTGGAACGCTTCCGGGTCTGGAGAGCTTCCCGAGCTTCAGACTTTCCTAATAACAGAGCTCAACCTTCTGTTTTGGGGTTTTATTTCAATGTTTATTTCTTCCTTATATTATTTTTCTATTTACTTATTTTAAAGATTGATTTGAGAGAGAGGACACGAGTGGGGGAAGGGGCAGAGGGAGAGAATATGAAGCCAACTCCTGCTGAGCCAAGAGTCCCACGTGGAGGGGGGTTTCATGCCCTGAGCCATGAGATCACAGCCTGAGCCGAATCCAGAGTCGGATGCTTAACCGACAGAGCCACCCACAAATTCCCCTATACTGTTTCTTTTTATGCTAGAGGAAAGGCTTGGAATTTGCATGTCTCTTGGTTTGAAATGCTCCTTACTGGTAGGGCAAGCCCTCTTTCGGTGCAAGTGCTCTGGTTGGAGCTGTGTAGGTCCCAGTCCCCAGTATTTTGACAGAGAGCCTTGAAGTGCTGCTGGGCCCTGAAGCAAGATAATTAATTCTCCCTCCCTCTCCCTCTCTTTTTCCTAAATAAACTCTACCTCCAATGTGGGGCTCGAACTCACAACCCCAAGAATAAGAGTCGTTAAACGTGGGCAGTTTTTTTAAGCATTGTCAATTCTTGCCTTTCTCACAGCTAGAGTTCTGCGTAAGCACTCTCCACAGCAGGATCCCAGGCCTGGGACTGACTAGTAGCTTTCGGGAGTGGCTGCCCGCTGCCACTGTCTTTTCATTCCAGACACACGAAAAAGATGGGCCACTAGGCCCATTCGGGCCTCAGAGTATATTTTGCCCTATAAAGCATATTTCTCCAGCTTCCCTCAAATATAGGAAATGAGTCTTTGGTTCCTTTTGCCACTATAATCCTGTATCAGAATGATTTAATTAGATTAAATTTCGAGGGACATTAAGGTAGAAGATTCCCATCTGGAGTTTGCCAGCCCCCCATATTTTATAGTTAGAAAGAGTCCCCCAGTATAAGTGTTGGAGCAAGTATGTACAAACGGGAGTTGAAATCCACCCTTGATTACGAAAGGGTGGTAGAAAAGAGATTCGCAGGGTATCTGGAAAACCAGCAACACAGACCAGGCTTTCTACCCATTTTCTGTATTTCTGTGGTGAGCAGCAGAAAAACCTTTCTCCGAGAAGCTTTTTTTAGGTTAGAGTGGACAGCAAGGTAGTGGGAAGCTGGGAAGTATACAGTTGGTCATGGGAAAAGAGGAAAGAAGGAAGTAAATAGAATATCTAGAGCCAGTGGGTGGGCGCCAAGGGGCAGGAATGAGGACAGTTAGCCTGCCTGGAGTCATGAAATCAGGGCCCTCGTCAGCAGGGTTGCCCTCATTCCCTGATTCCTCAACGTGCTGATCCTTTTTCTTGCCCACGAATAGGATTTTCAGTCTATAAAACTGAAGTGATAAGCCACTTGGAAAGTGGTGAAGCTTGTGTATCTGGGCTGGGCAAAGAACCATAGCGGGATGAGTACAGGAAGGCCCTTGGGACCCCTGTCCTGCTTTGCCTTCAACTTGTACCCATTACCGAAGGAATTCTAGCGCTTGTGAATTCTTTTGTTAAGAATATAGGTTCAGAGGCACCTGGGTGGCTCAGTGGGTTAAGCCTCTGCCTTCAGCTCAGTTCATGATCTCAGGGTCCTGGGATCGAGCCCCACATCTGGGCACCCTGCTCAGCAGGGAGCCAGCTTCCCCCTCTCTCTCTGCCTGCCTCTCTGTCTACTGTGATCTCTGTCTGTCAAATGAATAAATAAAATCTTTTAAAAAATATATAGATTTATTCTAGTTAGTTTTCTCCTCCTGGCTTAATTTATTTTATTTATTTATTTTTGGGTCATTTCACTATTACCAATGACTATCCAAGCCTTTACCCTCAGGTCCGAACTGTGGTTCAGAGTTACTGCAAAGTAAGGATTAAGATGGATTTCTTCCCACCCTCCTTGGTTCCCAGTGAACTTAGGATTTCTAAAGTGAGTAGAGTTTAGTAGCATTTATAGGGTTCCCCCCCGGATGTTATTAATTAATTAATTTTTATTTTAAAAGTAATCTCTGGGGGCATCTGGGTGGCTCAGTGGGTTAAAACCTCTGCCTTTGGTTCAGGTCATGATCTCAGGGTCTGGGATCGAGCCCCGCATCGGGCTCTCTGCTCAGTAGGGAGCCTGCTTCTCCTTCTCTCTCTGCCTACTTGTGATCTCTCTCTCTCTGTGTCAAATAAATAAATAAAATCTTTAAAAAAAAAAAAAAGTAATCTCTGTGCCTAACATGGGACTCAAACTCACGACCCCGAGATCACGAGTCACATGCTCTACTGACTGAGCCAGCCAGGTGCCCCTAGCTCTTAGAATTTTTACGTGTTCTGTTTAAAATCTGCATTTTCTTTCTTTCTTTCTTTCTTTCTTTCTTTCTTTCTTTTTTTTTTGGAAACAGAGGCAGAGTAGAGAATGGGACTTTGGCTCTGGACCCCCTCAAATCCTCAGTACCATCATGTTCAGATAAGAACCAGTCTGAAACGAGTGTCCTCTCTTCTGACATTGGACTGAGAAAAGGTGTCTGCGTGATGACAATGGGACCTCCAACCCCCCTTCCTCACATCTGTCCCCTTAGTGAAATCACTAGGACTTCTCATCCCTCCAAACAGGAAGAGGACTGGAAAGTGATCTTGACACGACCAGCTGTATTGCCCATAGAAGGTGAAGACCTTCCGTGGTTGCTCGAAGGGCCAAGAGCCCATTCCTGCTCTCTCCCGGTTGCTGTGGGTCGGGCCCTGGCCCCAGTGCGGGATCCATGTACTTCCTGTGACCCAGACAGCTTGGCTCAGTCCTTGCAGAGATCTGCAAAAGGCAAATAGAATAGCTTTAGCCACCAGACATTGAAAGAGTTGGCTCTTTATTGCTGATAAAGTTAAACATTTGATTGTCAAATTCTCTTTGAAAACAAAATCCAATAAAGCCAGTGTTTTTTAATTCATTTTTATCTCCATGCTCTAATGAGTAGATCAGGTTTCTAACGATGATCCTCTCCTGGCTTAAGCATGAAAAATCGCATCTTCCAAAAAACCTAGTATATCTATTTAAATAGTGCTACCAGGACTACAGATTATTATCGTTATTTTAAAGATTGTACTTATTTATTTATTTAGAAAGAGGGAGTGTATGCGAGTTGGGGGAGGGGCAGAGGGCGAGAGACTCTCAGGCTGACTCTGAGCTGAGCACAAAGCTGGAGGCAGGGCTCGATCTCTTGACCCTGGGATTATGACCTGAGCCAAAATTAAGAGTTGAGATGCTCAACCAACTGGCCCCCCCGACACCCGTCCAGGACTACCAATTATTAAGTAAGCAATCAGGGTTACAGACTTTAAAGTCTTTAAAATTTATAGACTTTAAAGATTACTTTCCCAGGATGTATTAACAATGTCTGAAGTCCAGGAGTCTTGAAAGACTCCTTAAAAATCACCTTATTAAGGGGCACCTGAGTGGTTCAGTCGGTTAAGTGTCTGCCTTTGGTTCAGGTCATGATCTCAGGATCCTGGGATTGAGCACCACTCCGCCTTGGGCTCCCTGCTGAGTGAGGAATCTGCTTCTCTCTCTGCCCCTCCCCATTTCTCTAGCTCGTTTGCTCGTGCTCTCACTCTCAAATACATAAAAGCTTTAAAAAAATAATAACCTTAGCAAGAACACTTTTGGGACATTGAATAGTGCTTGCTTTTCTGCAGCTGTTAGGAGAACAGAGAAATATTTTTCCCGCCTGATCTTGCTGAGACTTTTTTCACCAGTAGTTGGGGAGTTCTGTGGTTTCAAAGCCAGACTTGGAATTCTGTTAATTAGTGCAGGAGGAGGCAAAAGAGAGGCAAATTGGAGAAGCTAAAAATTCACAACATAGGAAGAACGCTGAATAGGATAATTATCAAACGGACCATGGGAAAGTAATGGAGTCCTGTTTTCCAGCTGTAGAATTTGGAAGACACTTGTTAGGTAGAATGTACATCAATTTCAGTCCCAGCTGGCATCAGCTAGGGACTGGCCTTGGGCCTGTAATCATGGCCTCCTCTCATTACTACACTGGTAGCTTCTGAGCCAGTGGCTGACCTGTAACCCCTGGAGTCCAGTGAGGAAAGAGAACAGAGGTTCACTGGTGGCACAGCCCCTGACCCCACTGAATCCTGAATAGCCCCCTTACTTCCTCCTCCCTGAGGCTGGTGTGGTATCAGGGATCTAGGAAGAGACCAGCAACTGAGAAATCAACGGATGTCTACTGCCTTTCCTTTTGCAAGTCTTCTACTTTATCAGCTCTGGGGACTGGGGCCCCCCATCCTGGCTGTAGAGCTCTGGCTTTCAGTCCAAGGATTCCAGAGAGGAGGATCCCAAACTTTTGTGGGGAGTAAGCCCTTGAAATAGGCCTTCTGGGTTATTTAGTAGTATGCGGTGGTTTGAAAAGAGTGGTTTCCTCCTGCCATGCAAGTAGATAGTTGTCAGGTGACGAGCTGGAATTTACCCGAGGCCTTAGGGAACCCCTCGATTTTAATCAGGTAGCTGTATACCCCACTGTGTTTCAGGCATTTCTAGTCAAGACCCAATGTCCCGGTGTGATTATCAACAGCATTCCTTTCTACTCTGAGAAGTAAAAAGTATCCCCATTGTGACAATAAATCATGCGGTCCCTGGGATTGTCAGACAGCTCACATTTGCTGCAGGATTAGTTCCCACCCTCTGAATTCTCTCCCCAGTCCTTCTGACTGGAACCAGTCAGACCAGCCTGCCTGCCTCCGTGACACAGCCACTGATGCGTGAGGAGAGGAACTGACCGTTGCTGTGTGTTTTAGCAATGTCCTACCCCAGGGGACGCTGACAGATATCTGAAACCCAGTTGTAAACACCCTGAAGAGAAGGA